GAGGTGTTCAAGTGAGGGCGCTTTCCTGCTGGGGCAGCCGCTTCCTTGCCTTTATTGAAGGTGGAGATCTTGACGCCCGTCGCAGGAAGTGCCCTCGCTGTTGGAGGTGGAGTGAGGGAGGAGGAGGGTGCACTTATAGTTGCTGCCTCTTTCGCTCTCTTTCTCCTTTTGGCCTCGGTGCTGCAAATGCGCTATATACAGCCTCATTCCGCGTGGTAGACTGGAGTGGACATTTCTGTTCATCTCGAGCAACCGCCATAGATTGAGGTGAACACTTCCGTCCAGCCTCGGGATTGGTTTTTATTATGCTTTTTTGTTTGTTTTATATATGTGTATTCCCACGAGTAGCAAGGAGAAAGTTGGTAACTCTGGCAGAGCCCCGCATTACCAGAGGAAGGCCGCTCGGTTTCCCTAGGGAATCATTCGTGACCGCATATCATCCTGCGGTCATTCAGCTGTCGGTACAATTCCTTACACCTTAACATGGATAGGCTGATCCACGTTGGCATGTTTCGAGGTTTTTGGGGAGTTTTAGTTCCCCTCACCCTACTTATTTCTGCCACGGACCAGGAGGCCACATATGACCCATTGTACATCCTCCCGAGGAAATCTCCTCCTAGGTCATCGTCCATCCTGTCCTTTCCAGGAAGGTGGACTAGGCCAAAACTCGCCAAACAGACACTCGCTTTGGCAACCAAGAGGTATCTCACGACGGTCTCCGCGAAGGTTTTGGAAGGTGCAGCTACATTACTGTCGTTGCACGGCTTCTTCAACCTTCCTGGGGTTCCCCCAGTAGAGGTGCACAAGTGAGGGAGCTTTCCTGCTGGGGCAGCCGCTTCCTTGCCTTTATTGAAGGTGGAGATCTTGACGCCCGTCGCAGGAAGTGCCCTCGCTGTTGGAGGTGGAGTGGGGGAGAAGGAGGGTGCACTTATAGTTGCTGCCTCTTTCGCTCTCTTTCTCCTTTTGGCCTCGGTGCCGCAAAAACGCTATATACAGCATCATTCCGCGGGGTAGACTGAAGTGGACATTTCTGATCATCCCGAGCAACCGCCATAGATTGAGGTGAACACTTCCGTCCAGCCTCGGGATTGGTTTTTATTATGCCATTTTTGTTTGTTTCACATATGTGTGTTCCCACGAGTAGCAAGGAAAGAGTTGGTAACCCTGACAGAGCCCCGCATTACCAGAGGAAGGCCGCTCGGTTTCCCAAGGGGATCATGATCATATCTTTTCTTCTTATATTATAGCTATGCATCTCTGTTTTTGTTTGGAAAAGTTCTTTATTTTCATGTACATATGTCAATGTTTTTAAAATGTACATGTTCGGAACAACGGCAACAACTGTGGCACTGCGACCGTTACCAAATCGCCTTTGTAAATGTCTACCGCAGTAGTAAACAAAACGTCTGGCATAGAAACCTGTAGACCACGTCCAAAAACCCGGAAAATAGCTTTCACTCAAAATAAGTGACTAGATTAATAGGAGATCTACTAGGCAACAATTGTATGGAAGGTAGGTCAATCTAGATCTGGCAAAGGAAACATTCCTATATTTTTTCCTAATAAAAGCAAACAACTAAACTGTAAAATAAATAGAAAATCATATAATTGTAAAGGTATTGGTAGCAGTGAACACAAGATGTAGCAATAGAACCAGCTGTATCTCTATTTGTAGAGTAGGGAGGGTGTGTGTAAGGCCACAGTACTTAGACCACATGTGCCGCATTATACATTCTCCCGAGGAGTTGTCCTCCTAGGTCATAGTCCTGCCTGTCCTTTCCAGGAAGGTGGACAGATCACTGGGAGACATCTCCTTTATATCGGCAGGTGTAGGCCAAGACTGGCCGAGCACACACTCTCCGGGCACTCGCATAGAAGTCTGTCCGCTAGCCCCATATTATGGAGGTTTTTCCTTAGTTGACAGTGGCCAGTGAGAAATCCTACTGCTTAGCGTAGGTTCTTCCTGGTCAACGCCAGATATTTCTTCGGTGCCAGCTTCCAAGGGTCGCCCAAGATGATCCTGGCAAGATTGCCCCATCCCATCTCTTTGGGGATTGAGCATGGGTGTGATGTTTGGCTGGTTCCTTGGCTAAAGAGTCGGCAATGCGATTACCTCTACTCCTGTCGTGGCCTCTGGATAATGTTATTATCCACCGATAGCTTTGGCTAAATCTTGGTGACACTCCAGTACTAGCCCTGAGCAATAGAACCATATTTCACTTCAGGGCGTTTGAAAAAAAAACGTTACATGTGCTGCATCATTTGATTGGACTGTAATAATTGCCATTATAAGGGAAATGGAAAAGGTTAATTTAATCCCTTGAAAATAAGAATTCATTTTTGAACAGCACCTCTCTGCCGGGTCACTTCAATATTTAGATAAGCATTTTCGCGATTACATTTTAACGGTCACGTTGAACCCAGTGGCAGAAAATGCTCTCATGATGACTCAGCGTCTGGAGGAATATAATATATGATTGTAAGACTTTGTCGGTTTTGCCGCCGCCATGTAAGTTAGAGTAACCCAAATAACCGTATACATTACATGTGCCCTTTAATCACGTTTCTTGGGAACGGTTGAGAAACCGCAGACCTAAAGTTTTGCGGTTAATTTTGTTGACTCGGAAAAGAGCGGCCATAACTAAATAGGCCGAACCACAGCTTATCAAAAATAGAGGTTGACCAATAACGTTCGATGAAAAATGATACAAGTTTTAAATGGGAAGGGTAATGGGAAATAATCTAGCAAGACCGTAGGGAATGACCAATCACGGGAAGTTAGGAGGAAGGACTTATTTTTGTTGAAGACGGTACTGGGGGTACGGANGGATGTTGTAAATTTTCAATGACAAATTTAAAATGTCGAACACGTGAGTCACGTGGCCAAAAAAGTATTGTTTGGAAACGTGCGAAGTCGCTTTATTAAAAATGGAAGACTGGGCTGAGGGAGAATGTGGATAATGATCAGTTAACTTTGAATACAGTTTCAGATTCGAGAGGAATGGCGCCCAATTATGGACCGACGATGAAGAAGAAGACGTTTGGAGTTTTTTTAACGGACCACTGGTAGTAATTCAGAGGTTTGTTTTTTTGATTCAGTATTCTATACAAATTTTCAATTGATGTCATGAAATTTTTGCAATGACGTTTCGTTCAACGATAGCCATTTTCAAGATGTTTCTTCTTCAAATACGGACCTGTATTTTTTCTGTGAAATTGCGTACACACACTTATGTCCTGCAATCCACCATTTTCGACCATTTCGGTCCTCGATGATCGTTATCACGGGTCGACCAATGAAAGAATAGAGACCTCAGTCACAATCATCAATATCCAGCCTTTTGTTGAATGATTTGAACAAATAATGTAAAAATGATAAGTATTATTCTTATCAGACCTGTAATGAGCTGATGGGTCTATACCGTTTTTCTAAAACTTTTGAAGAAATGGACAGGTAGTGGAAAAATGAAAGTGATGTTTCAAGCTAAAATCTAACAAGTCCAACGTCAAAACCTCTAATTTCGAGAAGCCCATCAATAAAATGCGCACTCCAGAAAGTCCTGCGTTTTCGGAGTATTCCAAGGGTGGCGGAGTTGAACCAGGAACCCCTCAGGCATCCACCCCCCGCCTCCCCCTCATTGCCAGGTATCTTTGTCGAATAAATCGAAAATGAAAAATATCAAAAATCAGTGTTCGCAACAGCAAGAGAGAAAAAGGATTGTGCGTAAACAATGTTGGAGAAGGGGGGCGTCGGGGGGTCTCAAGACGCCAATCAATGATGCGGGGCGACGAGCGCCGGCGCGACGCACCTGTTTTCGACGGCTGTCGCGGCGCCCTTCCATTCGCGCTCCTTTAGCAGACTGTCGTGGACGCGTCGCGACGGTGATGTGAAAGACGACGGCGACTTGTTTACTTCTCTGAATCCACGGCATGGTTTAAGGTAAGCCGTTGTTGTCCTCTGCTTCGATGATGGGGGGGGCTTGCTGGAAGAAAAATGAAAACGCTTGCGAAGTGTGGATGTTTCCGAGACTGGAAATTGGTTTGGAAACTCCCAAATTCTCCCCTGAATGAAACCTCTATTCTCCATGTTTCTGATATTTGGGAATAATTGTAATTTTGATAAATTATTTCAAGAAGTACTCACTTCACACCTGGAGCTACATGAAACTGTTAAAATGCCGTTGATAATAATAATATGTTTTGAACTACTCTACATAATACGATATGTTTGTAGCAAATCATGTTTGGCTTACATTTGAAATTTACAAGTTGAAATTTACACGCAAATAACAACAATCACATATGTGAAAACTTTGAAAATCGAAAAGAAGTAGTGACTTGTGTGGTACCACAAAAAAGTGTTCTGAAGTCTACGACAGAATAGAAGCAATGCCTCAATAAATAATTTTTCAAGTTTCTCTTGTAAGTGTTCAGACTGACTTCTTTGAAATCCTGGGGCAAAATATTGTACAGAGAGTTATCTTTGGATTTTTTTTGCGATAAGTGAAGATGAAATCGATGTATTCTAATGTGGTGAGCGTTTCGTGTATTATGTTCGTGGATATGACGTTGTTTCGCCAAGGATGGTTTTTTCTTATGGATTACAATCGAAACGTAATGAAGAAAAGTTGGCAATGGCACAATCCTGAGGTTTTTTAAATATTCTTGACAGTGATCTCTGTATCTAATATTAGCCAGCACACTCAATGCCTTCTTTTATACTCTAAATATTTTAATGGAATGACATTTCCCCAAACTTGTACACCATAACAGTGAAAATTACGAGCGAAACAGTGAAAAATATGAGGTTTTCAATATGTTTGCACCAGTGATGTACTTCAATTGGCGAAGAACAATTCAATTCAATTCAATTCATTTAAGCCAATAATTTACCCCGCCGCGAATACCCAATGCGTCCAACTTCTTTTGCAGGATTTGTGGCACGAGATAAGTCAAAAAAATATTCTTATCACATAATTATTTTGTTCAATATTATTGTATATATATTGTACCAGGTCTGATGTTGCAGTTTCTGTGGGTTTTTTTCACGAAATTCATGTTGGCATGGGGTCAGCAGATTGAATTTTTCTGAAAAGTTTGAGAGTTGGACTTTGAATGGAGATGCCCCTATAATTATGAATATTTATTGTATCACCCGCCCTAAATATAGGTATTGTTTTTGATACGTTCAGAACATCTGGGAATTTTCCCTTTTCTACGGAGAGATTTGTTATTCTGGCAAGAAAAGGAGATAAGAATTCTTTGCAATTTCTTATGAGTTCAATCGGAATCTCGTCGATACTAACCAATTTCTTATTTTTTAGTCGACATATAGAATTTTCCACTTCAAACTCAGAAAATGGTATAAAAGAAAATGTATAGTTGTTGTAGTTATCTGTGGAACCAGAGTTATCAACACTGAATACAAATTTACTGTTCACTTTTTGTTTTATAGAATTCACAAAGTGTTCGCCAAAGATGTCTGCTAATTTTTTCTGATCATTAATAAGTATGTTATTCACAGTTATAATTAGAGGTAATTTGATTATCAGTAGAAATCTGGATGTATTATATTTTCTGATAATTCAGTTTCAGCCTATTGGAAGGTTAGGTTAGGTTAGGTAAGGATATCAAGGAATCTGGATGTATTATATTTTCTGATAATTCAGTTTCAGCCTATTGGAGAGAAACCACTGATTAGCACTTGTATTGCAAAATCTGACAGTGAGTCAAAGGCAAAATGGCTAAGGTTTTCGTGGCCGATGTTCTCAGTGCCACTATTTTCCGGGTTTGAAGGTCGTCGATCTTTGGAACTTCTTCCTGACGTTTCGCTGAGGCCAGCGTCTAGCTTCTTCAGAGATTCATACATCTCGAGTTTATCTCAGATGACTGTGTATTCCGACTGCGTAAAGCATATTTATGTTGATACAGGTAGTTTGGTGTGCTGATTACAGTAATAATAATAATAATGAAAATAACTTTATTCAGAGTGAAAGACAAATAAATAAAACTAAGAGGCTACATGATTGATCTGAATAAAATACTGTGGGGATGAGTTGGTTCTCATAAACAAAGTACAGGTGAATAACGAGATGAGAATATGTTACTATTGATATTAGAATAATATAGAAAAGGTGATAACATATGGAAAATACAATGCAAAAATTGATCGACTACGTTGATGAAGAGGATTTCAGTGATTTCAAAATACTAACTCTTCAAGAATTGAAAGTATTGTTTCCAATTTAGCAAACAAAGGATCACGAGTAAATGCAGTAGCAGAATTATAAAAAGTAATTTTGAAGTAATTGGACATGTGTGGTATCATTTTGTGAACACCTTGTAACAAAATTGTAGTTTTGCAAGTGATCTAAAAAACAGTACAGTTACGCCTATCGAAAAAGTTCCAAACACAAAAAAATCTAATGAATATCGGCCAAACAACACTTTACGTTGCGCTGAAAAACTGTTAGAATCAATAGTGTATCAACCACTGTTGGAATATAAGAGAAAAAATATCAACCCCATTTTTGTAGGAAATTTTATGATCTACAAATTTTTTCGTAGTCATTTCCCCGTTAGTTCTCACTATTCGAAAGATATATGCAAAAATAAAAACTTGTTCCTTTCGACCTCGAATTAAAAACAATGCAAAAGTGGGATTAATAGGAACTTTTGGTACGCCCCTTATCATTCAAGTTGTGCATGGAAATCCAGCTTTTTGGAAATCAATGCGAACTAAAATGTTTATTTCATCTGAAGTGGTTCTGGCCTGGTTTTAGAAATCAAAGAAGCTTTTTTGAAGCCCAGATTTTCATTTTTTTATTCTCTACCAGAAAAGTAGTTATATAGACGCTCAACTAGATACAGTCCATTGATTCATCTCAACCCTTAGGTGTAAGGGTGACGTAGATACGGGCTAAAATGTACCCCGAAAACAATGGAATGACGTAATTCTTGTGCACCCTTGTTAGTTCTTGTTGAGGATATCGCCAATAACCATAAGGATGTTACTGTCAACGAAGAAGGTTCAATACACCAGAAAGGTTAAGAGAGAAGCCAATGGAATGACGTAAGTTCTTGTGCACCCTTGTTAGTTCTTGTAGAGGATATCGTCAATGACCGAAAGGGTGTTGTCGTCGACGTCGTCGATGGAGAAAAATGTCAAAATTATCTCAATACCATCTGAGGGTTGAGAGAGAAGCCAATGGAATGACGTAAGTTCTTGTGCACCCTTGTTAGTTCTTGTAGAGGATATCGTCAATGACCAGAAGGGTGTTGTCGTTGACGTCCTCGACGGAGAAAAATGTCAACAATACCTCAATACATCCTGAGGGTTGAGAGAGAAGCCAATGGAATGACGTCATTCTTGTGCTCCCTTGTTAGTTCTTGTTGAGCATATTGTCAATGATCAGGAGGATGTTGCCGTCAACGAAGAAAAATGTCAAAAGGACCTCAATACACCCTGGAGGTTAAGAGAGGAGCCAATGGAATGACTTAAGTTCTTGTGCACCCTTGTTAGTTTTTGTAAAGGATATCGTCAATGACCGAAAGGGTGTTGTCGTCGACGTCGTCGACGGAGAAAACTGTCGAAAGGATCTCAATACACCCTGAAGGTTGAGAGAGAAGCCAATGGAATGACGTAAGTTCTTATTCACCCTTGTTAGTTCTTGTAGAGGATATCGTCAATGACCAGAAGGGCGTTGTCGTCGACGTTTTCGACGGAGAAAAATGTCAACAGAACCTCAATACACACCTAAGAGAGAGAAGCCAATGGAATGGCGTAATTCTTGTGCGCCCTTGTTAGTTCTTGTTGAGGATATCGTCAATGACTAGAAGGATGTTGCCGTCAACGAAGAAAAATGTCAAAATAAGGACCTCACTACACCCTGGAGGTTAAGAGAGGAGCCAATGGAATGACGTAAGTTCTTGTGCACCCTTGTTCGTTCTTGTAGAGGATATCGTCAAAGACCGAAAGGGTGTTGTCGTCGACTTTGTCGACGGAGAAAACTGTCGAAAGGATCTCAATACACCCTGAAGGTTGAGAGAGAAGCCAATGAAATAACGTATTTCTTGTAGAAGATATCATCAATGTTGTCTTCGACGGAGAAAAATGGCAAAAGGACCTCAATACACCCTGAGGGTTGAGAGAGAAGCCAATGGAATGACGTAACTTCTTGAACAACCCTCTTGGTTTCGATAATCAAATAATCAATGACCAGAATGGGTTGGAGACGAAGTGCCAAAAGGGCCTTAATATAATAAGTTGGGTTTTTGATCTCTATCGTCAACGACAACGACAAATCTCCCTTTGTAGCGCTGAATTTATGTAATTCCACGTTCGTGTTGTTATAAACCGTAAAATATAGAATCAGTTAGCCCCCATATCGCTCTCCAAACATTTGCTTGAATAAAGTTATCTGTAATGTCGCGCGAGGACATTGAATTGAACGTAGGTTTCGCGTGATGCGGGCACATGAAGAATAAATATTCTAAACTCCCCCGCGATTTAATCAGCCCGGGGGCGGGACCTGTCGATATCAAAGCGCTTTCTCGAGAGGTTCATGTCTGGGCGCAGTTTATCCCAGCAAGAGTGCGTTTCGAGCCCGAAGAATGAATGTCATCGAGACACCGCCGTATAACTTCATCTTGATTACGTTAATGCCTAACGCTTAGTGCCCCACTAAGGGCGACACCTCACGCGAGAGCTTTGCCCTTCAAGCTCGCGGTGAAATATCTCGGCCGTAAATAAAAATGGGGATTCAGTGAAGCGTTCTCGATAAAGTCTTTCAGAATTTATTTCGTTCCTCGGGGAACTGTTTTAACTCCAATTGCTGTTGCCCGCGGAGAAGAGTGTAATGGCTCCATTTGTTCACACGATGCCGCCTAAATCATTTCCCGAGCGTGAAATTTTGCTCGGTTCATTTTTGAGGGTTTGTG